CGAAAAAATATCATTCCCATGAGATCCTAAGATGGTGATAATATCATTCACATAATTTTTAATATGAACGGTAAGTATTAACTTTTTCAAAGTGTTGACAAAAAACATAGAGAAAACTACCTAGTTGTTTAGTTTTTTCTTTAGTGTTGATGTTTACAATAGCTGATTAGATTATCACTTCATGATAATAATTGATTCATTTAGTACAGTTTTATTAAACTTCATGGCTATTATAAATAAAAACAATTTAGTTGTAATATCTCAATAAATGGAAAATTAGATTTTCCGAGGTTCCGTGACTCAGTGTAAGCCACTTCCTCAGACAATAAATGACTAATTAAAGTAAATCTAAGTATAAATAGTACAAAGGTTAATCATAATTTGACTACTTATCCTCTGAATAAGCGTCTTACGTTGAGTCACGAAACGTCAGAAAATTTCATTTTTCTACTTATTGGCATATTACAAATATATTATTTTTATTTATAACAACCTACTCAATTTCTTTGTAATTATTAAGTCAAACCTGCGTAATGATACCTACAAATCCATGGTTGTTGTAATATACAAAATAATAATTAGTGACGTGAGCTACTTATACTCACATAAGTAGTATATAACGATAGTCAGAAATAGAATGTATTTTAGTAGAACATCGAGAAGGAAAGATCGGGAATGGAAAGCAATTGGTATGAAAATGCAGGAACAATGAAATCTGAGACGATGGATTGCCATTTGCAAAAGAAACAGTCAAGTTTGAGATAACTGATTGATATTTTGCAAATTAAGTATTTACTGTATGGTTCCCGGATTTTAGTGAGATGTTCAGTCATTTCGTGTTGGGATACTTTCGGTTGTACCCCGTCGTGTTCTTTCTCGATACACTGTAACTTTGTGCTAGTGGTATCTTTCATTAATGAATCGTAGTATGTATTCTACTCGTGGTTTCATGTTAGACTCAGTGTAATGGCTAAATTTGGAATGATATCTCAACATTGAAGAGGATATGTTAGTGAATGACTGGTTGATTGTAAAAATCATTTTACATATATGGTTGAACATAGAATCCAGCATAACGATATGTCAATTTATGTTGAGTTACTGGTTTATTGATTGTTTTGTTTAACTGTTATGTGTATACGAGATTTATAACTGCTTAGTCATATAATCATACTGAAATCCACTTCAAAAACAGTCGAGAGAGTATTCAACAGGAAACTAAAAAAACCATTAGTTTCATTCAATCTACCAACACAGTGTATCATACATGATAAAATTTCTAGTTTCACAGAATCGAGTTTGTCTACGTTTTTAACTGTGAATAGTTAGATTTCTATATATTTGTTTTTTTTCTTGACACAGATATAATTCTACTAACATCTATCATTATGTGGCCAGCAGGATGGGATTCAGTTACAATTCGTGAAGTTTGTGGTGGCAGTGTTGGACCTTATTCAAAAGGGAACTGTTCCATAGGTAGGTCTAGTTGAGTTCAATAAAATATACATTTTTCCAGAAAAAAAGTTAATTTAATTACCAGCCATGCATTGTGTCAAGATAGGATCAATCATTCAGATGTGAATGGTCCCACTTGACACACTTGAATATCTATGATAAACATCTATAATAATAGCCTCTTTTATTGATTAACGAATTCAGCTTAGAGGGATGCAGTGAGAGTTCACAATAACTTCCCTAGTGATATGATTCATTTGAATCTAAAATGTCAACCGGTTACATTGCGCCAGATGTTCTGAAAAACGTTTTCATGGATATTGGAATTTACTTCACACGTAATTCTTCTTGTTAGTAAGTAGAAAATATGGTAGATATCTTTACATCTAAGGATTAATTATACTGCTAAATTCTATCGGTTCAAAGTTTGTGTTTCTGAAAACTCAGTTGATTTGAAGCTGCTAGAAATCAAACGACAATATCTCGTCTTAGTTTGGGATTCTTCAAAAATATATACTAATTACCATTACATAAGACCATGTCCAGCATCTTTAGGTCCTAAAATTATTATGAAATCCAGCTAGTTAGTATCAATCCGATGAACCATATTGTACAACTTTATCCAATTTACGATAACGTAAAGCTATGGGTACGTAGAGTGGTAAATCATACTAGTAAGAATACCATATTGTACACAGAATACACAACATTCATAATTCACTGGCGTAGTAATACGGAAACACTAGACAACCAAATACGACTAAACATGTGCCCTCTCTCTATTCTTTTTTCATATTCACAGGTTGGGCGCCATTGGCTTCAATTTGTGGAATAATTCTTCTGTTAATCAGTGCTATATTATCTATAGCAGTTGACAAATCAATCACGACACAGACAGCAACTAGACAGATACTACTGAACGAAAAATCTTGTGTTTTTCTACATTAGGGAATATTGAATTTTATGTGTGTGTACTTGACAGATATAGAAACAGAAAAAAAAACATTTATTTACTGATCACTAGCAAATAGATGTCTTTATCTAACATAGAGGATATATAAACACATATATGATTACATATTTATTATATGTGTATACTATAATGTATAACGAAACATTCCGCAATTATTTTAATGTTCAGAAAAATCCTATCTTAAGTTCTAAAATAAAATGAATAGTGAATTACATAAGTAACGCTTTCTTTTTTCAATCCCTACAGATAAAGTTAATCTGTTAGTTTATTGTCATTTGAGTTAAATGAATATTGAGTAAATTCATTTGGTATTATCATGCATAAACGAATGAGTTAGCCCATGATAACACTATGTATTTCAACAAATAAGTATATATTGGTGTACTAGTTTGTGAAACACACTTGTTTTATGGAAATTGTTTATACTAACTGATTGTCCAAACGTCTTTTAGTAAGTAGACTGAGTTCGAGTCTATATCTTATTAGTTAGAAACGAAGTTTTCAAATTATCAAGTAACTACTTCAAAATTCTGATTCATATTTGAAATGAAACGATAGAAATTCAAAAGTTAAATCTTTATTTAGTACATTTATAATCTGTTATTAATCTACTTTCGAGAGTAGAACAAACAATGAACTTAATTAAACATAAGGGAGTGAACCCAATTTATACAAATGAAGTTTCTCTAGTAATTTCAAGTAACTATTTTTACTAACATGTACACAAATGTGGGGAAAGTAATACAATACAATGAATTCATCATTTCTTGCTGTTTCTGGTACAGTCGACACAAATCATTAAATGTGATATTTTTGTTAAATATTAATTCTTCTGTCACACGATAAATGTTATCTTCACATAAACTGTTGCACAGTGAAAGATAAGGTTCCTGGAGGGGGATGAGGTTATTATATTCCTTGTCGATTAATGTATTATCAGTACAAATCCGTTTCTATTATTCTATTAATCCTCTGTTACATGATTGTTATTCTTGATTTAAGTTTGTAAACGAAATCAATATGGATGATAATATCAAATATCGCTTAAGTATTTTCATAACTTCATTAAACCAAAAAAACAATTTCCCATTCCTCTCTGATTTCTATTGGTTAGTCGATTTCAGTTTGCGACGGGAAAAGGTTTAACCAATATTTAAAATTAAAAATAATTTATCACGTTTTAATCGTTTGTTCACATATATGAACGTAAATCACCAAATGGTGCACAAATAATAATTTACAATTCATGAGTGTTACATGTGATGCTTACCATTCTTTAGAATCTAGTTTTCAGTAGGATCAAAATGTAAAATAATGGTACAACAGTGACAGAACTAATTATATACATTGAGTTCCTGGAAAGAACATAATTGTTTAAGAAATTAAACGGTGACTCAACTCTAATAAATACATCATACACACTAAATAATAATTTAGTGACATCTATAATAGGATTAAAATCATTTGTTAAAAAAGGGGCAGTCATTGTGTAAATCTAGTGTTTTTAAAGTACAAAGTTCGTTGATAACAAAATATCCACCTCTTTATGTAGAATCGTCGTTATTATTCAATAAGACTAATATCTTCTTATTGTTTATCATAAGTGAAAAACAAGATTATGTCTGGGATTTAAGTCAAAGGATGTGATACAATTCGATTTAGAGTCAAGGTGATAATGCAAATAACAATTCCTTAAATTATAAAATACCAGATGATCGTGCATTCGCTAATCTTCTGATTGTATGATTTGTACAAACGGGATGTGATATAGCTTAAAACGTATGCTGGTTTTACGAACGCAAATGTTTACTATCTTATTCGCGCTTTATTCATTGAGTGGCCAAATACAGTGAAAACTATAAAAATAACTAATCGTGTCATTTATATGACTTGTATTCTCAGCCTGTTACTTGGGCTAGTAGTGTCACTCGTACATATTAGTTTGTCGGACAAGTGTGTTTGAGAATACGCAAATAACTAGGTTTTGTATGCAACACTTTTTAAGCAAAACAAAACTAATACTTATTGAAGGTCCCTTTCTCCTTTTTCTTCCGTTATAATCAGACCCTATTTGGGAATAATCATAAACAATATAACTTCTCAGAAAATGGTATGTGAGACTCGAGTCTAAGGAATGTCATGCCTGACTCATAGAAACCATGTAATTAACTGCAGAATAGAGCTTTCAACGTCTGAAAGGTGCTTAAGAGATCTATGACGGAAATCCAGATATCCTGGGTGGTTTATGCATGCTATTTCCGTCACACATCTTTTGGTTAGTGTGATTCATTCTACAGACGTACAGATATCCAGCCCATGACAAATGGTGCAGAAACCTATCACTCTCATACTAAATATGGCTACATTACCGGGTTCCCTCTAAAAACTAAATGGAGCAGAAAAGAAAGCTGATGTTTTACTCAATCATAGCATTCAATAATTTTGTTAAGAACTCATATAAGGCTTTTTACTCTTATTTATCAAGCAAGGAAGAATTACTTAAAGACCTATTAATTCATTTTGTAGTGAGAAATACCCTATGACTGGAGACATGAGTGTAAATGAAACTTACCAGTATACAAGTGTTGAGGGGATAGTACAGTAAATTTTCATTATGAGTTGTTTCGTCACATATAAATGAGATTTTATCTGAGAGAGGTGTTAGGTGTATAATTAGTCACTGAAAATATTATCTTGTATATTTTGAAAATTGTAAATGAAAATATAAAAAATTAATAAAAGGATATATAGATATACATGTACTTTAAGTCTTGATGACTTAGTTTTCAATGTTAAAATGTACTTAAACCAAGTACGTAACTTGTATCAGAAATAACAGTTTTCATGTAGGAAAGGGTGCCTTAGTAACCATTTGGCTTATTTCCAATAGCGATTTGTTAAGCTCTTCAACGTGGACATGATTTTTCGAGATCTACAAGAATAAAATAAACCACTTCAAATTATGGCAATTATTAATTTGAAAACCAGAGATTTACCAACTATGATAAACAATAGCTGTTCCCAAAAATATGAAAATTGTTTTCAAACGTCAAAGTTATATTCCACAAGATATTGTGTAAACAATAAAAGAAACAAATGCAATAAAATCTTTTCTTTATTTAGGATCTAAGTAATGTGATCTTTAAATTCGAAGCTTGAGACCTATAGAACGTTGGCTTAAATAATACTTTAGAATGCACATGACACTTCTATCTTAAATTGTATCAAGGGAACTAATTGAAAAAAATAATAAATGAGTTCCGGCGTAATATCAGGTCTCTAACAAGCATTCTATCAAATAAAGAACAATAATAAGTATACTTTTGTTATATCCTAATGAGTAGAAAAATTGTATTTCTAACGTTTCGTGACTTAATGTAAGCCACTTCTTTAGAGTAAATAAGGGACATTGACAAGGTGTTAGTTATGATAGATTAGAAGAGAGATGTGGGTGGGTTCTAGGTACTTAAATCATAAAGAGTTCATTCTCTGTTGAACTCAGATTAAAAAATAAAATCCGTTATTGACAGTAAACTGGTTCATGAATAATGACGTTCACTTTTAGACTAGGTTAGATAAGCGTGTGAGCCCTTCTAGTGTCGTGATCTAACTGGGTGGCAATAACTAGTGCTTATTTGATTCTATTATATACTAATACATTAAAAAAAAATAAGTTGCGGACTAGAAAAAGCACCTAATGGTACAGATGCCCGGACAAGAGGTGAGTTCAAACAACTAACATAATGAAGAAAGACAACTAAGAATAAAAAGAAAATGGAATAATAATAATAAAGTGGATTAAACGTCACGGATACGTGTAATTGCTCAATTATATCAATGCATTACAACAGAAATTGCAGGCTACGCGACCAAAATGATTCACAGTAACATAAACTACCGAATATTAGTAAGTAGCATAGTGTATTACATAAATAACTTTAGCAAGTGTCATACATTCTTTAACATCTCTCGAATCAGAGAAAATGCGTTAGGGACAATTAACAAACTCTATCACTATCATACAGTTATTAATATAATTTATAATTAGATCACAAATCACTGCATAAACTTTTAACTTCAAAGGATGTGCTGTTGTTTTCGATTCACTGAATAGTCTAACAATTGTCGATTTTGACTGATTTAAGAGCCCATGCGGATAAACACGAACGCTAATGGGATTCTTAGTTTCCAGCTAACATTTAATTCAAGATAGATTATTCTATACGGTGCATACAAAGAATTTAATTTCGCTCAAGCGTCCCAACTCTCATTACTAAGCAAATTTTACTCAATACCAGTCACATTAATTCAATCAGATTATTAGCTATTTATCTATCGGATAAATAAATTCACTGAAAACCGTATAAAGGATATGCTTCATAGTTAAACTACAAAATATATATCTTAAGTTCTCCCATTTAATCAAAATAGTGTCAAAGTGGCAATAGGAATTGACGGAAACAGATGGCACTTGATTCATAAAATTTTGTAAACCACAGAGGTCGAATCAGATATTAGGGAAAAACTTGAATTGAACTTCATCACTGAATTGAAAAAAGTAGAATTTTTACAAGTTTTAATAATTTTTCTTACTGTATGAAGCCTTTGTTCTTCTAAATTGATTTGTTCAACAATAGAGGAATTTTCTTGGGCAATTTCGGATAATCGGGTTCTCAAATGTTGTCGTTCAGATATAAATGAATCGTTCTCCTTTGTTTTGTTGGCGATATCAGCTTCACGTGTCTAAAATGAGTAAAGCGTGATAGATAGGATTATACAGAAAACATACATGATACACATAACGCATGATATAAACTTATCAGGTCTTTCTGAATTTCTTTAAGTACAAAGATAAGCTTCATTTTAAACTGACTATAATAAATTAGATTTATTACTCCAAAATGTCTTTTATATTGAAAAAATGGATATAACTATCTTGCTGCTTAATATTCTGAAAGCTCCGCGAATCGCACTCAATCGGTTGGTGATGAGAGTTATTAAATATGGACTGTGTCGCTGGAGTGTAAAGTACTTTAGCAAGATCGTATCTGTACACTGCTAAATAATGACATGTTCAAAAGTAGAGACATTCGAGTATTTTTATGTTAGTGACAGTGTAGGGTATGTAACCAGTATTTAAAATGTTAAGAGTCAAAGAGCACATGTCTGAGTTACCTCTGATACCATTAAAGCGTAGGTCTAAACACAAGAAGTCGAAAGTAAGAGTCCTTAGGTACGATCAGTTCCACACAACTCTTGTGAAACCTGGGCTCTACCGGATGTAACATTTGATGATTGACTATTTACCACGATGTTCATCTGTTGACTCACAATACGCTGATAATATAGTTTCTTTTATTCGATGCATAGTATCCTAGTCTTTTTGAACAACGATGAAAGCATGTCTGTGATGCGCTCTTCCCCTTCAAATACGAAATGTTACGCAGTTGCACCGGACAATGGTTACTACTTAATGAGGTAGAACACCGCAAGACCCATATCTAAATGTATTTTTGTTTGGTTACTTAATTGAGAATTAAAATCATCTGCTGTTGTTACACGGTCAGTCAGTCAGCTACGCATGAGCGCTTAGTTTTCTGAAAGTCGGAAAGTTTTCTGTAAAACCCACTTTTTTCACTTGAATTGCAGTTAGTATGAGCTCAGGCAGTGACGACGAAGAGGCGTCTCGTGTCCCTATCTTTCAGAGTACTTAGGGTCCCTTTCAGTAGAACAGTGAACAAGTGGCTGTCTGCCGAAGCCCAATGTAGAAGAGCCTCTTCTGCTTTCGAACTTAGTTCTACACCAACGCTAGTGAGGATGTAAGAAATGGTAGTCTTTATGTGTACGAAGAATAAATCGTTTTGGTCCTCTATATTCAGTGGGTGAGATCAAGTGAATGACCGACCACATCTGGATCCTGTGTGAGTTTTGCATACGAAGCATATGAAAACGGCACGAGCCCTAGGGTTCAAGCTAGCGAAATTTATTATTGGATTTGAAATAAAATTCGGAAATTGAACGTTTTGATATGCAGTTCAGAGAGAGGTTTCAGGAGACTATGAATAACTTTTTGTGGACTCCAACTGTTGGCATTTATGGAGGGTGGGGAGACAGTTGTTAGTAGAGATAGAAAAATTTTAGGCGATGAAGGGATTTGAACGTAAACAAGGCGACCTCGAGTGCTGTTAGAGATGTGTAGTCAAAATACTATAGTAATAAAAAATTATTACAATTTTCACATACACGATACTAAAACTGTATTGATAATCATAGATTATACTGGGAAGAAAAGAGATAATAAACATGTACAATTCTTTATCATAACCATTTCATCGAAATCTTTAATCCCTCATATACCGGTAAATACTTCTATTAAAAGATGGTTACAGTGTTGAACTACCAAGGTACAAATGTTTTGAGTTTTGTATTTTAATGGAAAATATTCAGTACAAACTAATCACAGGTTTCATGTAGTAAGATTTTCAATACTGCTTATATTTTAGTGTCCAAAGACACTAACTGGTCAGACTAAAAAGAAATAGATGGGGTAAATTTCGAATATACAACACGACAGTTAAAAGGCTGATAATTAAACAACTGAGCAGTAGACATATACTGTGCCATCTTAGCAAAAATATTATAGTACAGTACTTTGGAGAAAGACAAGCAACATACTTATACAGACACATCAGTTACGGATTACCTTTTTCTTAGTATTCAACAATACTTTTTTTCGTACTAGTTGTGATCGATATTCCACTAAGTGTTGTTTAGCTTCATTTAACGAAATATCCATATTTCTCAAATCTGTAGTTAGAACATCGATTTTACCTTGAGTACTCTAGAATAAAAAGCAGTTGAAAATTGTGCTTAGAAATACAGTACAACAATTATCAAAAAGTTCATTAGTGACAAAACAATGTTAGGGTAAAAATAACAATCAGTATTAAAATCTCAAACCATTTTGAATTCATAATAAGGTGAATATGAAAATAATGTATTTGTATTCATTTCCTAATTGATATTGGAAATTATTAGTAAATTTACGCATTTGTGGTAAATGACCATGAAGATAAAATAATGGGTTGGAAAATTATTTAAATTTAGTTGCTTCATATAAATACTAGTATGGTACTTGTAGCCTTATCATCATTGTGTAATTACGATTTATAATGTGACATGAAATAGAAAAACTGTCAATATTTACTCTTTTAATCCCGTTATACTACACTACGTGACATTATACCTGATGACTAATAAAAAATGACACCAGAAACAAGTTAAATAACAAGATAACCATTATCAGAAGTTACAGCTTGTGCCGAAAAAATTTCTCCAAAATTTGAGTATCTCATTTCATTAAAACGCTGACTAAGTTCATAAACACATGTGAATAAATAGTTAGTCCGGAAACAAAATAGATGTTTTAAATGATTCAGTGAAATCATAGTAAATGTTACTGAGTTCTTAATATGTAGATATTTGGGAATTCTGTTACATTTGAGCATAGATAAACATTTTCCTTACTTGGATCATTTTACTTATGATCCGACAAGGAGAAATAAAGTCAAATAAATGTTATGGAGTTAAAAATATTGTGTAATCAACTACTGATTACACGTTCTGACTTATTCCATCGATCAAATTGCGCAGAATTCGGAGTATAATCTTCTCTACAATATAAAGGCTTTAAATGTAAAAAAAGACAATCAATACCTTTCTCTTAATAAAGCCTTACCTTCTCTTGTTTTTCACATGATTCTAGTTTATCCATTATCACATAGCCCTGATCCATTGCTGGTTTCAGTTCTGACTCCAGTAAACACTCATAGCTTTGAAATGTTATATTACGATCCACAATGTGATTAAAGGCTTCAAATAATCTATGCATGTCTGATTCAATTGAATCAAGTTGACACTTTACTCTTGAAATTGATTCAGGTAACATTTCACAATTTTCAAGTTGATGGGATCGAGCATTTTCATATTCTTCAAGTAAAATTTGAAGTCGTTTGCGAGAAGACTCTATCTAAAGTGATGTAGAATCGATAACTAGTAATTATGATATCAGTGTCATTACCAAGGTTTGATTTGATAATTTCAAAGAAATTGAGGATTAGGTTGATTATGATAAAAAGCGATATTTTTATTGAGTAGATACTTTCCGGGGTTTCGCAGTTTAGTGTGAGTTGCTTTGCCACAGAATAAATCGAATTAAAATAGTATAAAGGAATAGCGCAAAATATTTCATGCAATCAAAATAAGTCAATGTTATGTTATGCTGGTGATTGACCTTTCTCGGTTGTACAGATTGTGGGAGAAAATGAATTAGTAATGACGGCCATTTGACTTCGGAGTGACCAGACGGTCGACAGTATGGCTTAGACCTTAAACTTTAGACTTGCTGCTTCTAATTTAACCGTTATCCAGCTTACCTACTAGGGACGATGGGACTCTGAGGAGTCAGTAAGTCAACCGCAACGCAGAACCTGGTGTATATAAGTCTTTTAAGCAAAACAGTAGGTTAAAACACCGCGTTAAGGTAGGAGTTATTGTTTTACAGAATGGAAACAACCCAAGCATAGTCTAGTATTGATACTACTCAATAAATTGTGATAGGTATCTATTTTCTTCGTTTTAAACCTTAATGTTTAGATCTCTCCTTTGCTCTGAAGCTTAGTAAATTCCTATTCAGTTGTGATATAAAGTGTGAAAAACCGGCTGATACACATGTGTCAGGTTATACGTCAATGATGACTTACTTATTAGACAAACGAGTGAGACGTAAATAAGTACCAACAAACATAAACTTATAAGAAAACTCTTAAAGTTATTTTAAGTTAGCACAAAGATTCAAAATCTTCCTAAAATACTAAGATCACTTTCCAAAACTTAGGAATGTATTCGTGTCAACTGTAAGAGTCAGGTTAAGATAGCAATACTATGAACAATAAACAAAGGTGGATATTTTTGAGATTCATAAATCGACAAAATAGAATTTCGCAGTGACTATTTACAAAGTGCATTGCTGTTATCCTTGAGACAAGTTATAATGAGCCATACAGTTGGATTTGATGACTATCGTGATAACTTGAAGGTGGACCTTCTTAAACGAAGTTGACAACCAAACAACCTGGCATAGTAGTGATTTTGTAGATATTATTACCAAGGTTTGACTTGATGTCAAATAAATTGAGCGTTATGTAGACTGCTGACGATAAAAGTAATGATATATCAGCAATATTCAAATGAATGTTTGTTTTATGCTGATTGATATACAACGAATATATTACTACATTTTGTTATTAACCTACTATATGCTAATTGCTGAAGTATAAATTCCTAAATATGCTATGATGAGAATCTACCTGTTCTTTTTTCTGTTCTGTTGAAGAAACCAGGGACAGTAATAAATCTTCTGCAGACGACATTTTTTTATTCTTTTCATTGAAACGATGTTTAATGTCGTAAACTTCCTTTTCAAGGTCTTTAACAATGTTACGCCTTTTGGCTTCAGCCTCTCGAAGTGTTTGCAATTCACGTTCCCGAGATTCCACCAGACTTAAGAGCTTTGAATGGTTGCTTTTTCTTTCTCTTGCTTCGTCAACCATCTTAAAAAATAAATACGTGTAAAAACATTGATTACCTCTAGAATCTCAGTGTCAGCACATTCAAACCAAGAAACTAAGCATGAAAGAAAAGGTATCCATTTACGCCGGTCTCTTTTATCTCGGGAAAAGTTACTCAAAGTGAAATTTCCAGCATATCCTAGGTTCGTGGCGGTCATCATGAATAGTTTCAAAAAGTAGACTTTCGTGAAGTTTGATGATGGTATATCATAAATAGTACAAAGAAGCTGCCATAGTACTTCATCCATATACTCACCTTTATATATCAAATTTAATCATATATATTCGAATTACCTTTATCAAACAACATGGTTGGATCAACAGTCCTTTTTATAATTAATGAAATTGATCTAGCGATTTCCATATGATTTCTGTAATGAAAAGTTTACACAAATTAGTATGTAGTGTGAAATTTAAAAGTTGGAGTAGCGAGTTGTCTCGGGACTACAGATTGTCATATTTTAAACTCCTTAAGATGTCTGCTACCACTAAAATTTTTGGTGTGACCGCACGACAATAACTAGCCAAAGTGAATCTTTCCACAAAATGCGAAGAGTTAAAAAAAATGGGACTGACAACTGGCACATTAGATTTAGTGAACATGGATCTTGGCAACTAACGAGTGGCATGTCCCTAAGGTAATTTATTTATTTATTTATTTGAACACATAAATATTGGTACAGGGGGGCACCAAATATATATGCGCCACACAAAACAATGATAATTTGAAGAGGAGAAAAGAGAAAAAAAAGTAATGGACGTGGGGAATTATAAAAAAAAAGGGAGAGAGAGAGAACAATGGTGGGGGAAACGGAAAGGTACAATCAGAAGAGATCTTTCAGTTAAGGAAGATACAAACACTTTTTATGAAGAAAGTAAAAGGAGGTTACAGCAGGATCGCCATTGGCTTCTATTCTGAGCCATATCTGATAACGTCTCTAGCCACTGCGTTACACCGTCTTTCGGACCCCAACCTGGGAGTCGTGAAGGACCAACAGAAGCTAGCCCTTTGCAGCTTTCTTTCATACCACGACGTGGTGAGTATCTCCGCCTGTCACGTGGAAGGCCCGGGTTCGATTCCCGGTCGAGGAGTCGGCTTTTAGCCCCCAAATGCCCTGGTATGGCCGTGAGCGGGGAGGGTTCGCCCTCCCTCTCGAAATACTCTCACACGGCCACGCGTATACAGCCTCTGCCAGGGAAGTCCTACTCACTGCCTTCTCGTGGCGGGGGTGTTGTTTACGAAAATGAGAGGACGAAAAGCGAATATCTGGCGCTTTAACCGGATCCCAATTCTATGGTGCACATGGGCTCCAGTATCCTGAAGGAACAAATGGCGTATGAACCAACTTTTGGTCACCGGCTTCCATGGGACTGCATCTCCTCACGATGCTCCACTGCCTTGTGGACTAGACCTTTAGGTCAAAGGCTCGGGGTGTGGCCCCCTAAGAAAACCACCTGCTTCGGTTTGGGCACCCGGGCAGTATCTCAGCCCACACACTAAAACTATGATGAACTATCTGCTTATAGAAAATATTCGTCTCTAAGGTAAAGCAAAACGTGAAACATTTCAGCTAGCTTCAAAAAGCCCCCCTCAAATACTTTTAATGATGTTATAAATATCTTACCACATGCAGGATATCGTATAACACCAGGAACTGATAATCCTGACCGTTGTTGCTACCTTGACGTGGTGGTCGGGCTTTCCTATCGTGATGAAGCAACTGAGCTATACTGGCTGGAACAACCATTCCTCAAGGTCCTACCATGCTAGACAGGTCGGTTGAAGAGCGGTAAGACTAAAAGCAACAAAACCTAGGTCCGAAGGCGAAGTCGTACTGCTGACTGTACAGAGGTGTGACAGCAGTAAGGTGTTTCCTTCAGACAACCAGCATAACAGCGATGCTGCCTTCCCAAAAGGAGGGGAGGGGTTAGAAAAGGTCGACCCTAAAAATGCACACCTCGCCTTATCCCACGGATATCCGTCTCCGGCGGTAAGATCTCAACAAGTACGGAGCTAACACAAAAATTACTCATAAAAAGGTCGTATGTAACCGACCTCAAGCAGCTGTCCCTTGGGCACTGCGGTCACGCTCTCAGGTCACTATGACCACCTCTAATCCAATTTCCTTTTCAGGTACCTCCAGAAGAACCCTTCCACGGTGTGGGCAACCGGGAAGTGATAACCGCCCTCATACCTCTAACAGCACTCAAGACCACTGTATTCATAATCAACCTACCTCTTCAATTCCTATTATTCCTCTTACATCGACTTTCAAATCTAAACTCCCTCTTTTAGCTTCCTCCTCAAGTGTCACCACAGCCAACGATTCTAGTGCGCAAAACACTGTCCCAGGTCTACTGAAACCCCGCTCCAAACTACACATTGGAGCCTTCAACGTACGCACACTATGCCAAATCGGTCAGCAGGCTTCCTTGGCTAAAACCTTAGAATCTCGTACGATTGATGTATGCTGGGTCTCCGAAACACGCATACAGGATCCTAGTGTGGTCATTCACTTGACCTCACCTCGGCAAAACGGAGTGCCGACGAGATACACTCTCCGTGTATCTGGCGACCCAATGGCTAGTTCTCGTGGACTTGCAGGTGTAGGCATAGCACTAAGCATGAGGGTGGAACAAGCGCTATTAGAGTGGATCCCCGTTAATAGTCGTCTATGCGCCGTTCGGCTAAACGGCTCCGTCAGAACTCGAAAGGATAGGGACACACGTCGTTGCCTTTTCATCGTTTCTGCCTACACTCCCACTGAGTGCAGTTCGGATGAAGTGAAAGATGAATTTTACAGAAAACTCTCTGAACTTCTTCAGAAAGCTAAACGTTCAGACATAGTACTCGTAGGAGGTGACTTTAATGCCCAGGTAGGTAGCTTAAACGAAACAGAAAGACATTTAGGTGGGTATTTTAGTATTCCGGCACAGAGAACAGATAATGGTGATCGTCTGCTGCAACTGTGCTCAGACAATCGTTTATTTTTAGCAAACAAATTTTAAGCATAAGGAGAGACATCGTCTAACATGGCGACTCCCTGCACCAAACCAACGATGGACTCAAATAGACCATATTGCCATCAGTCATCGTTGGAGAGGGTCGATAGAAGATTGTCGCTCATTCTGGAGTACCTGCTTGGACTCCGACCATGCCCTAGTACGAGCACGCATCTGCTTGCGCCTCACTGGACGCAAAAGAGCCACACAAAAAAGACTCATTAGAACCGAATTGAGTAATGAGAAAACCAAAAGTAGGTTCCAGGAACAACTGAGGTCACACTTAAGTAGTTCTGAAAACGAGGCTGACCCCGATGTTGATTGGAAAGACATACAAGCAGCTGTGGAAACAGCAGTGACATCTACTTGTGATTTAAACCACAGGGTTACAAAGAAACAATGGATTTCTTCAAGGTCTATTGCACTGATAGATTCTCGTAAACTCATCCCATCAGGTTCTGAACACGATGAAGAGCGTAAAGAAATCAGATCTAGGTTAAGCAAAAGTCTAAAGAACGATCGTGAGCAGTGGTGGGCAACGAAAGCAAAAGAGATTGAAAAGGCGGCGACTATAGGGAACACAAGACAACTCTACAGACTAATAGAAGAAACTGGAATTAATAAATCAAGTGTAAGTCAGACTATTTCGGAAAAAGACGACACTCTCATCTGCTCTCAGTCCAGACGTTTAGAACGATGGGCGGAACATTTTAAGGAGCAGTTCAGTTGGCCTTCAGCTACTCTACAACTACCCTCTATTCCCAGACAGTATGAATGGAACATTGAAGTAGGTCCCCCAACTCTAGCTGAAGTTCGAAAGGCTATAGCTAATCTGAAACGAGGAAGGGCAGCTGGTCCAGACGGATTGGCCCCAGAGGTCTTTAAGGATGGTGGTCTAGTTTTAGCGATTAGATTGACTAATATTTTAGCTAAAATCTGGGAGTTAGACGTTATCCCATCTAACTGGTCACAATCACTTATCGTCCCAATATTTAAGAAAGGGTCAAAATCATCCTGTGACAACCACAGAGGGATTAGTTTGACTAATATAATATCTAAAATACTAGCTTCGATAATTTTCGGACGCCTAACTAAGACTCGTGAACTGCAAACACGTGAAAATCAGGCTGGCTTCAGACCTGGTCGTGGCTGCATCGACCACATATTCACCATTCGTCAGGTTCTAGAACACAGGCATACTTATCGGCGTCCGACAATTGTGGTCTTCCTTGATTTAAAAGCAGCGTTTGACTCTGTTGACCGAGAGGTTCTGTGGCAGTGTCTGTCATTGACAAGTGTACCTCAGAAGTACATAAACCTTGTGAAGGCTCTTTACTCGAACACTACTAGTCAACTCAGAGCTTATGGCGAACTGTCATCTGCTTTCGCAACCTCAAGTGGCGTCCGCCAAGGCTGTCCACTTTCTCCATTTTTGTTCAACTTCATCATAGATCTACTGATGGAAACAACGCTCTCATCGACTGACTTCTCGGGTATTGATCTCCTACCAGGAGGTCCACTTATTGACTTAGAATACGCAGATGACATAGTCCTGTTTGGTGAAGACGCTGATGAAATGCAGAATCTTTTAGTAGCACTGAGCAACAATGCCAGAATGTTTGGGATGCACTTCTCTCCCTCTAAATGCAAGTTGTTGCTTCAGGACTGGTCTGCGTCAACACCTGAACTAAGGATAGGGGGTGAAGTAGTCGAACGCGTCGACAGCTTCACTTATCTTGGAAGTCTGATCAGCCCTAATGGGTTGGTGTCTGACGAAATCTCAGCACGGATTCGAAAAGCTCGTTTGGCCTTTGCCAACTTACGTCATCTATGGCGTAGGCGAGATATCTGTCTATCAATTAAGGGACGAGTATACTGCGCGACAGTTCATTCCGTTCTACTATATGGCTGCGAAACTTGGCTTTTAAGAGTAGAAGATATTCGTAAGTTACTAGTACTTGACCACAGGTGCCTTAGAAATATTGCTGGGATCTGCTGGGATCACCGGGTAAGTAATAGTGAGGTTAGACGCAGGGTATTAGGGAATGATGGTAAATCAGTTGATGAGGTTATGAACCTTCATCGACTGAGATGGTTGGGCCACGTGCTGCGTATGCCTGAACACCGATTACCGCGACGCGCAATGGTAACAGGTGTTAGGGATGACTGGAAGAAAGTTAGGGGCGGCCAAACCAAAACGTGGCATCAGTGCTTGAAGACACCAACTACTGGTCTGAGCCATGTTGGTAGATGCAGACTACCTGGTTGGGGTCCGCGTGACTATCGTAACCAATGGTTGGAGACTCTTGGTGACATGGCTCAGAATCGATCACAATGGCGTCGGTGCATACACTCTCTGTCTTCCCTTAAACTAAGTGATTAAAATCGCTTCATGTCTTTCTTTCTACGAACTAATTCTATCTTCCTGTACTATCTCCTTATACACACTCTTCTATATATTACCACCACTGAATTAACTACTTCTATGAATCCGGTGTTCATCTTGTTGTGCTAATGCGGTATGGCAACTTGGACCGATGCATATACGTGCCTGGTCCTACGTTGCAGCTGACTGACTGACTGACTGAGGAACTGATAATATCACCCAATCTCCCTATTTTGAGGGAAATTATGGGTTTTGGGGAAACCAAGATAGAAGATCTTAGGAAAATGGAACAGAAACCACAAACCGCCCCCCCCCCAATATTTTGAGAAAAACCACCATATTTCTTAGGACTTTGGGGAAAACCCCGAAACTCACCCAAAGCGCCCCAAAATAGGGAGAGCAGACATTAATCCTTATTCCAGTTTACCGTCATCCGAAACTTTCCGCCACAATTAATAGGGTTCCGGGCCTTCCACAAGTTCGATATTACCCTGAAGTTACGAGGTATGCTAGGTGAATTAGGATTAACTTGTGAGAGTGTAAAACATGAAGTGAGTCGACTACTCGAGTCGTCCATCAGTAAGTAGATGTGGTGTACTTGCACGAAATAATAAAAAAACTAACAACAATTAGAAGTTACACAACGGTAGGATTGATGGCGTAACATAACCAGAGATGATATGGTAGAAAAGTGACTCACTACTGTAGGAGATACTTTGTGGTGGGCGCGAGATGAGAAGTTCTTAACCTGTGGTTTATTAAAACACGCAACGTCGAAATTCCTAAAATCTCTGTATAGTGGGTAAATAATTTTGAATTTGTTAAGAGCACTGTTAGGGTAAATAAGCAGTTTCGTATCCATTCAATGAGAGATATATACGTGGTTAAACGAATTGGTGACGGAAATACGAAAATAACATCGCTATGACAAAGACTAGTGAATTTAAATTAGTCTGAATGGGGTATCAAGCATCAAAGACCTAGAAAGAATGTTCGCTGACTAGTTGAGAACAGATTGTATCAAAGCTTGGATTAAATTATGTTTCCTTCTTCATGATTTCCGACACAACTGGGGTGATGTCAGTTGGCTTATAGTTTCAACTTCCGTTGTCATACGCAGACTTATGTAAGAGAATGATAATTCTCCATCTAGATAAAATAGTATTAAAGTGTGTTTTGGCGTATATTTACAACTCTTCTTGAGTTAGTCCTGTTGATGTAACAAGACGTTTGATTTAAAGGTTGTATATACAATTAGTTCAAATTTCTTCGTATTTATCTCCTAAAAATAGCCGAAGCTCTTACCATCCATGAGCTCAAGCTAGAACTATGTGTACTAAAGTATATTTGGTCGTTATCGTTACCTTGGCTTTAATTGCTATTATCACTACATTCTGCCTTTACTTCTGTCTCATATTCTCATTATTTTATACATAAATGCTCATCATATCATTTTATTTAATTTTTACACATCTATGAACTTTAATTATTGTACCGAAAACATTTCATTCATCTTACTAAATTCACGTTATGATTTGTGGAGATAGGTCTGTCAAACTTATTTTGTAAATAGTTTTTAATATTATTTGTATGTATTTTGCCAATCTTCCACTATATGTACATTTATCATTAAATCATTGTACCTGTTGTTTTAGTAAATGACCTTAAACACTTTTTCTTCCGTTGTGTTACACGCATAGAATGACACATTGTTAACTGCTAACAAATACATCGTCGCACACATACTTCTTGCTCTACATTCGCCTGTGACTGAGCTAACCGAGGTCTAAATCAGATACTATTTATCTTTACAGACTGTAATTCGAATATACCACATCCTATATCGGATCATATCACTGGGGAATTTAACGAGTTGAGCTTGACTATGAACACCGCTACCAGACTACGTGCCAATAGACCAATAAGATTCCGGTAGGTCAAAAATCAGAAGGCAGATGATGGCTGTAGTCGAGATGTATTTGTTGGCGATCTCGTGGTATCGAAAGAATACCGAGATCGTGCCAAAGGAGTACAAGTGTGGTTACTGAGCGTAACCGGATTCGTACAAGTTCAAAGTCAACGGGAGAGTAAGTATAATGGCTGTCATTAGCACAGTTAAACAAACGAGCACAGTAAAACAGTCACTGGTACAATTGGTTATAATAATAATTGTTTTCATTGAACCAATCGCGTTCTGTTAACAAAAGTAGGTCACTACAGGAGCCCCTTGCTAGAAAGGGTTTACACTTTCGATAGTTTGCGGTTTGATTCGTGGGACTGATCGGCAGAAGTGCGGTTGTAGGACGAAGGAAATTGGCGGAACAGGAAGTGATCGTTGATCCTCGAGTTGCCAACGAAGGTCTTTTGCGCAGAACGGTACCAGGAGAAGTGTGCTGTATTTGTTGGTCGAATTAGCATACCACACCAGAGTGGTTTGTATCCAGGATTTGATGATTGCGTTCGTAGGGATGTGAACCAGAAAACGCTGCAGACGTAGGACGAAACCACGTTGAGCCAAGAAACCGGACGCGACCATGACGACCAAGCGTATGCCAGGCGAATTCGAGACCAGATAATCGACTGAGTGCGTTGACTAGAGCATGGGTGGCCAAACTAGCTTTTGCGAAAGTTGACTGAAGTCGACGTTATCAAACGGACGATGGTCGGAGGCGTGGGCTCAGGATACAAAAAAAATCAAAAAAAGAAAAGTGTAGCATGCGTGTAGTATAGGAATAATCCTACACCGTATCCGTTAATGACTGTGCGGTTAGTCGCGAAAGCGTACGGGTAATCGTACTCGGCGACCGGAACGTGAGACGGTAGTCTCGTTCGTACTTCGTGAGCCTACGATCTCATCCGAGGTCAAGGGCAGCGTGGTCTGCTGATCTGGACGTGAGACGGAAGTCTCGTCCGTAGATGGTGCAGATGACACGTGCTGTTGACCGGGACGTGAGAACGAGGTCTCTGATATGTCTAGCGTGGGATCCGAGGTAGACGTAGAGATCCCGCTAGAAGGTTTGGTAGGTCTAGCATTGAGTCTCAAGTTATCGGGTAGGGCACTGTCATCGACGTGTGCTGGTTTGAGACGATCAATGCTGACGATCTCGACGCGGCCGTGTCGATCAACCTTGAAGGTCTTTTCGTGACGAGAGATCACGTGAAAAGGGCCTTCGTAAGGCTGTTGTAGAGGTTTGCGTACCGAATCTACTCGTATGAAAACATGTGAAAAGTTAGATAACTCTCGAGGGAGAGCGACCTGTCGATGTTGTATTCGAGTTGACACCGGAGACAGCGTTCGCATAAATGCAGACAGTCGATGGACGTAGTCTGATTTACCGAAATTATTACTGCTCCGTGGTGTGAAGAATTCCCCAGGCAGACGCAATGTCGTGCCGTATACAAGTTCAGCGGCGGAACATCGAATATCTGCCTTCAAACTCGTTCTGATGCCTAAGAGAACGAGCGGTAAGGTTTCGTACCAATTGTCGTTTTCGTGTGCTCGGAGAGCACTTTTAAGTTGGCGATGAAAACTTTCGACTAAACCATTCGATGCTGGATGGTAGGCGGTGGTGCGTATGCGTTCCGTACCAAGCAGCCGGGTCAGTGAGGAGAATAATGCGGACTCAAATTGTTGTCCTCGGTCAGTCGTGACAGTTGAGGGACAACCGTACAATGCTATCCATCGTTCTACGAAGCGGTGAGCAACTGTCTCCGCCGTGATAGACGTGATGGGAATAGCTTCGGGCCATCTTGTAAAACGGTCAATGCACGTGAGTATGTGATCATACCCATGCGATGGTGGCAATGGTCCTACAATGTCTATATGAACGTGATCAAAGCGAGCATCAGGCGTAGCGAACGTGCCAATTCGGGCAGCTACGTGCCTGTGCACTTTTGATCGTTGACACTGTAAGCATTGCTTTACCCACATGCGAACATCTTTATTCATGGACGGCCAGACGTATCGTGCAGCGATGAGACGTAATGTGGCTGCGATACCTGGATGAGACAATCCATGAAGGGCATCGAAGACGAGACGGCGATAGGGAAAGGGTACGATGGGTCGAGGAAGACCGGTAGAAATATCACATAGGATAGTACCTGAGCTAGTAGCTAGGGGTACTTCCTGACACTGAAGGGACGAAGATTGTGATGCTTCTGTACAGACAGGATCGTTTGCTTGCGCGGCCGCCATAGCAGGAAGATCGAGCACCGGTAAAGTAACTGCATTCGTCTGGATACGTGATAGAGCATAGGCAACATAGTTCGACTCGCCTTTAATGTGACGAAGGTCTGTCGTGAACTGAGAGATATAGTCCAAATGTCTGCACTCTCGTGGTGAGTAGCGGTCAGACTTGGTATGCAGGGCATACGTTAAGGGCTTATGGTCGGTGAATAAAATGAATTGGCGTCCTTCTACTGCGTGCCGGAAATGTTTGATGGCGCAGTAGGCTGCAAGCAGCTCGCGACCAAAAGCGCTATATCTCGTCTCCGTGGGAGTAAGGCGTCGTGAGAAAAATTCAAGGGGTTGCCAACTACCGGAGATATTCTGTTGCATAACGGCTCCTATAGCAAAATCCGATGCATCAACCGCTATACTAAGCGTGGCTGATGGGTCAGGATGAGCGAGGAGTGTAACTTCAGCGAGAGCCGTTTTGATCTCTGAGAATGCAGTACGTGCGGTATCGTTCAATTCTAATTTGCGTGGATTACCGCGTAGTAAATCGGTTAATGGTCGTAACCGTTCTGCCGCGTGAGGGATGAAACGTCGGTAGAAGTTAACCAAACCGAGAAAAGCCTTCAGTTCCTTGATTGAGGACGACACGTTGTACTCCTTGATTGCTCGAACTTTGTCCTCGCAAGGCAGAATACCCTCTTGTTTGATGATGTGACCCAGAAATATTATTTCTGATTTACCCAGTTCACATTTCTCTGGGTTGACTACTATTCCATTATCCGAAAGACGTTGGAATAATAGCGTAAGGTGTTGATAATGTTCATCTACGTTTGATGATGCGATCAGCAGGTCATCAATATAGACGTGAACAAAATCCAAGTCTCGTACTATGCTATCGATAAACCTTTGGAAAGTTTGAGCAGCATTCCGTAATCCAAATGGCATTCGTAGGAACTCAAACAGACCGAAAGGAGTCGTGATAGCATTTTTTTCGATGTCTTCAAGAGCGACTGGGATCTGGTGATATGCTCGTACCAGATCGATTTTAGAAAAGATAGTCGTGCCCTCGAGCGATGCCGTGATGTCGTGTATGTGGGGGATGGGGTAACTATCAAAGCGCGTAACTACGTTTAAAGCTCGGTAGTCGCCGCATGGTCTCCAACTAACCCCATCCTTTTTGCGCACCATGTGTAAAAGAGAGGCCCAAGGACTGTGAGAAGGACGAATAATACCAGCAGATAGTAAATTGTCAAACTCACGTTTAGCGAAGGCTAATTTGTCCGTTGCCAGTCGGTGTGGTCTTGCCGTGACTGGTGGTCCGCGGGTGACTATGTGGTGTACCACACGATTGGTCACCGATGAAATCTCCTCGAGTGGTTTAGTTATTCTGGGGAATTTATCGAATAAAGCGTGGAATTTATCGTCACGCGTATAAAAAGTGCCGAGGATTCGGTACGCGTACATCGGAGTCTATTATATTAATACTATTCTTATCGTTATCCGTCATGTCAAATATATTATATATTAAAAATTAAT